GATTAAATATGATAACACTAGCAGAGATCTGCAAAATTTGTGGTCAAATTAGTATCTTTATTGCAACAGTACTTCTTGAAACACAGAATTCTAAAATAATTCTAACCACAGACACCTAAATCTACAAGTCCACTTGTCCTAAGCCTACTAACATTAGTTAAGCTTTTATTAAGTATGGCCTATATTCAATAAAGAGATAAATTAACACTGTAACCGGTGTACATTTTTTGCTTTAGTTTAGTTAGGACTAAACTATGCCATCATACTACAATTCTGCTTGTCAGCACACATTATAAGCATGTGCAGTAAGAATTTTATTCATGAAAAATGGCACAGGCACATTATGCACCTGACAACAACCAGCCTGGCTGTGGCAAAGAGCCGCAAAGCTAAATGAACAAGTGAATACAACTGCTCTAATGAATGAAGGGCAGATGTTATTATTTTATTACACTGAAAATAGATTTCTGATAGAAGCTTTGAACTTTGGTACAATTAATATGTGCTTATAGAAGCTCCAAACCAAACTCATCCTATCAATAAGGACAAGCCTTGGTTTAAGAAGAATCTTAACTTGCCAACATTTCTCTGTTTATAGTCTGAGCCCAGCTCATACTGGATCTTCTAGCAAAAAAGAGCAATGAGAATCTTCCAAGGTAAGTATAACAATTCCTTTACCTTTCTCCACATCAACATCCAGGATTGTTTAAGTTACAAAAAATATGAATAATTAGAATTAACTAGCAAAATTAATGCCTCCATTGTAACTATCAGTGAAACCCTCCTCAACAATACTAGTAACTTCACCTAATTATAAGATTTTCTCCAAATCTAGACATACTAACACTAGAGATATTGCTGTATTATATAAAAACAACTAGACATTTCTGTAATAGATCATAATGTCCCAATACATCATGAATTTATGGTATTGTCAAGATATAAAAGAGTGTTTGGTTTAAATATTAGTGATTAATTTATATTTGTGAGTGAATACTTTATTATTTTTAAGTTTTGTTCTCATAAGAGTTAAAAGCAGATGATTGTAGAAGGATTTGTTAATAACTAATTGGTGTCAAGAATATAGAAAGTGGCTAGACGACTTTGTAATAAAGATATAAATAGCATAGCAGGAAGCAGCACACAGATAATAACAAAAGAGAATATAGCTGTGTGAAGTTAAGTACCGTAGATGTGATAGGCCTAACGATTGACATAAGCCTAATGTTTAATATGTTAGAGTGAAACTAACAGTATAGAAAAGATAAGAAGGATAATTTTATTCCGTCAAAGCATGGATCTAAAGTAATTGAATCAGCCTGGGTACACTTTGACAAAAGGAACAGATAATCTTCAGAAGAAAAAAAGACCAAACGAATTACGGTAACTTGCGCCATAACTGTAAGTGAATCTGAAACAACTTGAAACTTTCGAGGAAATTTTACAATTGCTTCAGGGTTTTATTAGTTGAAAATACATAGAATAAAACTTAAAGGTTTCTAGTATACGTAAGTAGCCAAGGTTATATAAAAAAGAAGAGGCGACAAGAAGATGCCTGTGTTACGAAATAAAGCTTGTGAGATGAGCTTGAGAACTAGTAACCAAGGTCAGGAGCCTAGTTATGTGAGAAGCATTGCCTAGAAACATGCAACAACACACGTGTATTACGAAATAAGCTTGTGAGATGAGCTTGAG